CCCTCGGCCGCCGGGGTGGAGCCCATCCGGGGGCGGGGCCGGGGCGGGGCGGGGCCAACGTGGGCCTGTGTGCGTGCGTGTATGTGCGTTGCGTGTGTGTGTGAGACTTAGGAGAAGGAGAGTGTGTTTTCGCGCGCGCGTGTTTGTGAGAAAGACTGAGAGTATGTGAGACTACATTATGTGAGAAAGACTTTGCGAGTGTGTGAGACTATGTGTGTGAAAGAGATTGTATATAAGAGGCTCTGTGTATGTGTGTGTGAGACTGTGAGAGATTGTGTATGAGAAAAATTGTATGTGCATGAGAGCACTGAGAGCTCACTTGGGTGTGAGAGACTGATAGGGACTGTGTGAGAGTCTGTGAGAGATACGGTGTGTGTAAGAGTGCGTTTAAGAGGGAGAGAGAACGGCGTGTGTCGGTGTGTGTGAGGGAGAAGCAAACACACACACAGAATTCTACATTCCATCTGGGCCCCTCTGTGCTTGCCTGGCACTGGCGGTGTGCCCGGGTGTGCTGCTGGCTGCCTGTCCTGAGTAGCTGTCCATCCTTTGCAAGTAAAACACATTCTCTGGCTATTTTGTTCCTTTTGCCTCCCCTCTGTGTCTCTCTGTTGAGTGCTTCCCTGGTGTGTGTTGGTTGTTGGAACCTTGGAAGCATTTGGTGTTATATGTGCCTTTGTGTATATTTCTGTAAATGGGTAAGAATATGTTACTCTCAGTGTGTGATAAGGGAGATACATCTAATTTATAATTCTTTTTCTTTCTACATGTGATAATTGTAATTTATAATAAGAAATATTTATTTTGTCTTTATCCCCATTCCTGGCACTGAGCTCCTAAAACCTTGGCATTTCCTAAGTGGTGAGAGGGATAAATGCGTCTTTTGTTATGTTAATGAGATGACTTTTGGATAGCCCCCTAGGTAACTTAAGGATGGGGCCTGGTTGCCAGAAGAACCAACCTTGTGATTAAAGGGTTGAAGCTTTCAGTCCCAACCCCTGATCTCTGGGGAGGGGAGAAGGGCTGGGGGTTGAATCAATCACCAATAGTCAATGGTTGAATCAGTCATGCCTATGTAAAGGAGCCTCTATATAAACCCAAAGCACAAGAGTTTAGAGAGCTCCCACCTTGGTGAGTAAGTGGAGATCAAGGGCAGGTAGAATGGCAGCTAAGAGAGGGCATGGAAGCTCTGCACCCCTTCCCACATAACCCACTTTATGTAACTCTTCATCTTCACCTATATCCTTTGTAATATCCTTTATAATGGACTGGTACAAGTAACTAAATGTTTCTCTGAGTTCTGTGAGGAGGTCTAAGAAATTAGTGGAACTTGAAGAGGGAATCGTGAGAACCTTCAATATATAGCTGGTTGATAGAAGCACAGGTAACATCCTGGATTTGCATTGACATCTAAAGTGTGTGTGGTGGGGTGGAGTTGGTAGGAGGGGAGGGGAGCAGTTTTACAGAACTGAGTCCTTAACCTATGAGATCTCTGGTCTTATCTCCAAGTAGATAGTGTCAGAACTGAGTTAATTGCTTAGTGGTGTTGGAAAATTTACCCATTTTGTTAAAGGGAAATTGAGGGCACTTAAATAAAATATCAAATTTTGTATATCTCTTATCTGTACTTTGAAAAAATGATAGACTATTGTATAGATAAAATATCAGGCTACCTTTCAAGGAAAGTAAATACACCTAGATATGGAGAAGAATGAGTTATTTGAGATCTTCTATTAAAATATCTTTAGCCTCAGAGAGGGAATTAAAATAAGCAGGACTCTAAAGGCTTATTTTAAAGACCTATTTCCTCTTTTTAGTAGTCAGGACTGTAGAAAGTAGAAAATATGCCTTTAAATGTCAGAAATTAGAAAGAAAATGAATCTGGTTTATTTCCTTTCTTAAACGCCTTTAAAAACCCGGAAGAAATTATTTAATATCATATATATAATCAGAAACAAATGTCACCATGGGAACCCAAAAGCATTCCCTGATGGGCCTCATTGCTTTCCTCTAATGACATTCATTCTTGAAATTTTGCTTTGGCTCTTATTATTGTTTCTTATAAAAAATGACCTTATATATATTTTAAAATGAAACTTTAAGATAGTGTATAGTGGCACAGACAATATCAGCTTTTTACTGCCAACTCTGTTGAGCTTAAGGTACATTTTGAAGTTCTCCCTCTTTTGACTTGTATCTGTTAACTTGATAAGTTGAGCAGCTATGCACCTAATCAGACTATAGAGTGAACAGAAACTCCTTGTATATATAAGGACTCAGAAGGCACAGAATATGTGTATCTGTCCAGGTAAAAAGAATAATACAGAGTTTAGCTTTGTTCAACTTGGGGGACAAGTCTTACTGAAGTTCTTTAGAATATACTGTCTGGCTTTTTGGAGATTCAGGCTTCTTAATTCTTTGCAAAGTGTATTTAGTCATTTAGGAGACATTATTGAACACCTTTAGGCATTAGGCCCAAGTCTAGGTCCCTACTCTCACGAAGCTTGCATATTATTTTCTTTTGAATTCTAATTTACTTTTCCTGGCAAGTGCCAAGAATTTTCACCAAAGGGTGGCCTCTGATCCTTGCCTAGGTCTGATGTCAGAACCTTTTCTTTTTCTTAGTATTATCTATTTTTTATTTAGTGAATGAATTTCTCTTTAAGCCGTTATTCATATGTTCATAGAGACTTTGATCTTTTCTGAGGATTTAGAGAATCATCTCTTAAAAAAAAATCCCATAGTAGCACATTGGACAGATTACGTCACAGATAACACACTTTCAAGCACATCACATGGGAGGGGAGGGCTATTTTCACCCTATTGCATAATATGATTAATATACACATAAAGCTATTACTGCCAGTTTCCCATGGGAAATGTAAGATTGTTATTGCCTAGGCAACTCTAACATGTTGGTCTCAACTTCTATGTAGTTTAGTTGTGATTTTATTAGTGTGTTTACCATGTGTTCTCCCAAGAATGGTAAGTGGCAAGAAACAGATTCATTTCTAAGGAGTGGTCTGTGCAGTATGGATGTGTCTTGTGCAGTTGCTGTGGGAACAAGGACTTTGAATCTTTCACTTCCACACCTTTGAGATCTTATTTTTAATATTCTTCCACTCTTATGTGTACATCTTTCCAGAGAGAAAAATGAACAAATCAGAGTGATCTGTACTCATTTAGTAGTATAATATTAGCAATGCAATTATTTATAGAAACTACACCAAATTTCATTTTTCAGTTTATTTTTTGACATATTAAGATGTTTTGTTATATTCTTCCTGAGCTTTAATTTTTGCCTCCCATATTATTTAAAAAATCTATTTCTTTCCTGTTTAGCAGAACTTCAGTATGGGGAATAGTTTTTGAGATGTTTGGAATCTTAATCAAAATCCCAGGAAAAACTATGGTTTCTGGATGGTATGTGAATTTAAAGGAAAAGAAACTTTTTGGAGAACACTCTCTTTCCTGTTTTTTTTTTTTTAAGGAAGTTATGTCAGAAACATGCTGAAACAATGCTTTCTCAATGTTCTCTAGCCTTCCCAGAGAGTCCATTCTGATTGGGAGAAGGAAAAATGCGTCCTTCTTCTTGGAATTAATTTCTGTTCTCTCTTGTTAAAAAACAAAATTCAACTAAATAAATTTTAAAGATCTTCTTGGCTTTATTTGGCCATTCCTGAATCAGGAAGCATCCAGTCTAGCAGATAGGAAGGAGCTCCAAAGAGTTGTACAGTTCAAGGGGATTTTATAGACCAAAGGGAGCAGGAACAAGAAAGTTATTCTGGGTATTTGCTGATTAGTTAATACAGGGTTATTCCCTTTTATGGGGCAAAGGAAAGTCTTAGGTCCCGGTTTGGTAACTTGTGCTGGGCAGGCAAGCACTGATCAGTTGACCTAGGCCTTTCTTTTTTGGGAGAGCTGAGCATTCCTTAGTTAAGTTTTGGTTTGCTGATGTGGCTTTAGTGTGAGTGACTCCATCTTGGGCCTAATCTGGTTACTTTAAGATTGTTTTATTCCCTTTCTCTGGTGTGACTTCTTTGCATCCACATGTACTGCTGAGTTCTCCCCTTAGAGTAGGAATGTAAATTAGGAGCTATGTATTCATTAAAAAAAAAAAGTCAAGAAGTCTATTCAAACTCACTAGTAGAGAAAAAAATGGAAATGCAAACAATTATAAGGTACCACTTAATATATATTAGCAATTTTTCATGTGTTGAATAAAACCTAACATGGACAATGCCTTAGGGTAATAGTTAAACTCACTTACTGCATTTTTTGGCAGTACATATTCATAACCATAAAAATATCCATATCCTTTGGCCCACTAACCACAGACCTAGTATCTCAGGAGCTGGGAAGGTAAAGAGTAATCCGGAACTTAGCTTTGTTCAGCTGATAGAGTTAAGTCTGATAGAAGTGAAATTATGTGAATATATAGATCAAATCTGGAAGGGGAATTAAAAAAATGTTTTTTGGGTGGTGTGTTTCCTTGTAAAATTAATTTTAATGTTGTAATTTTAAAATAATCATTTTAAAAGATCTTTCTGTTTTCTTTGTAAAATTGGATAGCTGGCACGCAAAGTCTGGTCAACTCTCCCTCATAGCTGAAAGTTCTGTTACCTTTTGTTAAATAATTTAGTTCTTGAATGAGTTTGGATATTTTATTCATGCTGTTCTCAATTATTTAGAATCTTAGAGTTGCAAGGAATTTAAGAGGCAGTTTAGAACAACCTCCTACCCAGTGTAGGGATCCCTTCTATAACATTCCTGACAGATGGTCATTCTCCTTCTGTTTGAAGGCTTCCGACTATGGGAAACCCATTACTTCATAATGCCACCTGTTCAATTACTGGATATCTCTAATTGTTAGAAAGTTCTTTACATCTACTGAATTAAATCTGTATCCTTATGTCTTCTGCCTATTGGTCTTAATTCTTTCCTGAATTGGTTCAAGAGAACCAATTAATCTCCCCGCCCCAGGAGTCTTTTGAATGTTTTTTAAAAGGCAGTTTTGGTCCTTGCCTTTATTCTTTCAACTATTATTTATAGATAGATGTAGAAGTTGTGAATTTTGCCACTTGTTATCTGTACCTACTTCTTATGTTAATAGTACCCTAGCTTTTTTATTGATTCAACACTCTCCCACTGTCTGTAATTTCAGTGAAGATGAATCTATTCCTGGATCCAAGAGTTGAGAATATGACCTTTACAAAGTAAATCAAATGCATTTCACCTTTCCTTCCTCCTGTGACCACAGTAATTGGTTTAAGGATGGGCACATGACCCAAATCAGGTCAATTAGAGTCAATGAAACTCAATCCTGGGATTTTTGTTTGTATTGTAGAGAAGGCAAAGTCTTGTCTACAGGATGAGTGTGTGATGGTGTGAGTTTGGAACTACAAAAGAACTACTTTATAAGGCCTAAGAATGAAGCCTGTCCAGTAGAATGCATGACTGAGAGATGAGTTTTTTAAGGCCAGCTTTTAACTACTCCGAAAGTTAAACTACCTCTGTATGCTGTTTTCAATTATGTTAGCCAACAAATGTATCAC